CCGTCCCAAAATATTTGCCACACTTGTTTTTTTAGCAGTCGCGGGAACTTTTGTTTATTCTTACGTTTTTATTAGTTATTTGATAAAATAAAATATTTTTGACATCTCTTATTTCGAAAAACTTTTCATGTAGTTTTTTTGATATGTAAATTTTATTTTTTTATTTCTATACCAATATGTAAATAAAATAAATTGAAAAAATTTGATAATTTACCTCGGTAATAGAAATGTGAGAAATATTTAGAGACGCATGGAGTAATTTTTCCTCACAATATGAGAAACATAAATACATCTAATCATCTGTCAATTAATCAAGAATCAGCCCCATGCCAGATCCATCTGACGCGAATGGGTAGAATTATTTTCAAAGGTAACGTTTTAATTTAAAAAAGGAATATTATATTCTTTCCCTCAAACAAAGAATCTCATTATTTGATTTTATAATTCATTTGGGTACTTAAATTTGAATTCTAATGTCTTATTTGCAAGAAGTTAACCTTTTATGATGTTTATATATTGGATGTTTCTCTGTGTTTATTAGATAGTCAAAAGTTCAAAATTGTCTAAAAACAATTTTCAACTTATAAGTCAGCATATGATGTGTTTATGTGTGCTTATAAGCTAACTTATAAACGATTATAAATCAGAAAAAATAAGTAGGGCTCATCTATTTTTTTAACAAGTTTTTTTTTTCATTTCTCCTTTTTGACTAGATTAATTTCAAAACTTTCCCTCACTCATTATGAATATTTCCAAATGACTTATATATATCATTTAATTCATTTAAACTATATGACATTTTTTAACTTATACGCAATGTATAAGTTTAAAATCAATAAATCAATAAACACTAGTACAGAAAAACACTCATATTGTAAGGTCATCTTCTCTTTACATGATTTGAATGATTTTGATCTGATTCAAATAAGTTCTGATCAAATAGGCTCAAGTCTGACTTGATCTGAATTTATTCATATTTAAAGTTATTTCTAATATGATATGATCTGATTTGAACTGATTCTAATAAGAAAAAGTAATAAGTAATAAGAATAAGTTGAAGAAAACATGAACTAAGGCTAATCTAATGAATGTGGACTTTAGGATCACCCAAGAATTTGTCATTCTGAAAATGCTAACGGCATAGGCTACTCTCATATATCCTTTTCAAAGCACTTACGCTAATCTCTAATGCTGATCCAAACGAGATCTACATGTTTAAGAATTAAAAAAAAATTAGATTTGGGAAAATTTCTCTAGTTTCTAACAAAGTCTAATTAAAATCTATACCCTTGTAATGTGAACTTAGGACACCAAATTGTAGAATTGAAATTTAAGAATCTTGATGAATGTATAATTTCCAAAATAGTTGAGCTTTGTTTGAAAAAGAACAATTTTGCAGATGACATATTTTTTATCTCTAAAAGAAAAAGTGTGAGTTTTTTTTACTTTTCCAAAACATTTAAATAAGAAAAATGTGAAATTCTTTAGTAGAAAGTTGAGGATAAAACAGCTAAAATCAAACCACATTGTATTCTTGATACATTACTTTTCCACTTTTCCCTAATCACCAAACGAGTTCCAAACTTTTCTAATCACTCAATTTGAATAGCTACATTCATTTCATTTGAAGTTATAAAATTTCAAAGGGATAATAAGAAGTAAGAGCATCTCCAATGGAGCCTTCATAGTTTAAAAAGTAGAAATTTTAGACTTCACTATTCTTAATAATGGGCTCCAACGGGTCCTTCAAAAAATAGAGAAGTATTTATTTTTCACTTTACACATGCTATATATAAATGATCAAAAGTTATCAGCTATAATAAAATATTAATAAAATTAAATACGGTAACCAATTGAGAGGAGAGAGAAATGCTAACATCCACACAAAGCAAAGAAATAAAAAAGTAAAACATATTAAATTTATATGGAAGAGGGAGAGTAGCAGCTATGGTTGGAGCACATACCAAAATAAGAACATCCAAATCACTGTACATGTTCTAAAATATGTTTATGGCTGCCCATTTTTAGCATTTTCATTGGAGATGCTCTAATGGGTTGATGAGAATCCTGGGTTATTTATTTGAGAAGAGAAGGACAACAATGTTTGTAACTTGTAAGTCTTGTTTGACCCTATACTAAGAGTCAATGCTCACATTTGTTGATTGAGACTAGACTCGAATTTACCTACATGTGGTTATACAAGGAAGAGTGGGTCACAAAATTTATATGAACAAGAAATCCATGTTATATGCTTTTGAAACATAAAATTAGAATTATATAGAATTTTTTTTCTCAAATTGGTTAAGGATTTGCAATTTTAAAAATAAGTTTGCATTTTCTCTAAAGTTATCTCATGATAAAGTCTATGTTTTTTTAATTTTTGTTAAAAAAGAATATATGACTCATAATACTTCTCGATTTTATAAACAAATTTCAATCATATGCAAAGTATATTTTTTCTCATAAAACGTTATAAAATCCTATTTTAAACTTTATTTTAAAACACAGAGATTAAATGATTTAAATAGGTTTTTTCTAAATGAAACCCCATATACAAAAAAATTAAGGCCCATTCTCCGTATAAGTCTGTTTCAAATTTGATTTGCGAGTCCATAAAGAGGCACGATATGAAATTAGAAATGTTAAAGTATAATGACCCAAGTCCAATTACAGAAGCATTGGCAGCCCATAGGTATTTAAACCCAGACTATTGGGCTTATCTCTTGAGCCTAATTCATGGAGCATACTAGGCCCAGGATCTTCTTGAAGGCATGCATTATTAATTAAAACTAATAAATCACTGTTTTAGTTTAATATGTTATTCAAGTCTCAAAATTGTTCCATTATGAGAAAATAAATTCACTTCAATCATATTTCAACTCTAAAGTTTGATCGATTTTGTTTACAATCTCTTCGTGTGAAAAAAGTTTATAATTTGATTTCACTGATTTTTGTGTCGCACTCTCGAAAGCGAGAAGAGGACGTGGTATGATGTCATGATGTGTCACACTCTTTATGTTTCCAACTAAATCTTATTACATTTAAGGAACGAATTAAATAAGTGGTTCGCATTGTTTCAAAAAAAAAAGTTCATAAAACATTGTCGCACTCATTTGTAAAAAAATTTACTGTACAATTTTCCTATATCTTAAATTTCATAAAAATCAAACTAGGACAATTATTTAGAAACGAAAGAGATTATTTAGAAAAAGTAAATGTTAATGGTGTGTTGAAAATAATTTATGGATTAGGGAGTATTTGTTTTTTAAAGCACGAACATGATTTGAGTGAATATCAACATGACAACATATTTGCCCATCTCATGTAAAGTATTAGATGTACTTTCTCTTTATATACACCAAAAAGCTCATCCGTTTTTTTATCCAAAATAGGGTTTGTTGTAATTGTCATACTCCCTTCCTCATGAATTAATCATCTCAATTTTTTTTATTTTTAATCAGTTTCAAAATAATTATTCAACTTCTTGCGAATCTCAATAATAAGAAAGTATATGGTCAACAATCTTTCATTGGGACAAAAAATATGTGGTTCAACCACCCTTTTTTTAAATGTTTTTCAATACTTTTTTTGATGAGTATATATCGAATAAAAATTGAATTACCACCACGCCCGGAGTATATATTAATATACAAAATGAAAGAATGGAAGCTTGGGTTATAAATTTTAATAACCCATTCCCGGCCCATTAAAACGGACGTGGAGTATATCCAAACGAAATATGGCCCACAATGAGGCAAGGGTTAGAAGGCGTGGAGCCAATGCATTACGTGTGAACTACACATTGCCACCATTCCCCTCCCAAAGGCTTTGAGTTAGTTAGGCACACAATTAATTAATGGGTAAATGCACATTGATGATGTTTAATATAGTAATGCTTAGGGTATAATAACAAAATATACTCTACATTAAATATTATTCATGCATTAATTATACATTTTCTATTCATAATTTAAAAATTAAATTCTAAGTAAAAATTATATAAATTGAGGTTCCGTTTGATGTGCGTAAATATTTTTGTACACAATAAAATATTTGATACTTGGTTATTGGTTCTCTACTTTCAACATATGTTATTCAACTAAAGTATTACTTCGGGTATCACTTTCGCTGCAAACTGATACCTCAAAAAAGACCCCATCATAGTTAGAATTTGATTATCATTTGGTAAAAAATAGTATCACTTTCACTATAAAATTATTAAGAAAACAATTACTATTTATCTCATTTTTAGTTCATAGTTGTTTTTTGCATAAAAAAATCAAGAAACAATGATATTATGTAATTGTATTAATCTATGCAGGTGAGTGAACATTAGTATGAAGGACACAATTCTTTTATTGAAAGGAATATGAATTTTTTAAACTAATGTCAATAAAAAAGTAAAAAAATTAGTTTTTTTATATAGTAAAAACATAATTGAGTATGAAAGAAGTACAAAGTATGTAAGCATAATTTGTTCATTTATACTTAGATTAATACCCAGAATCATTGCATCACTTACAAAGTTTAGAACAACATAAAAAATTACAACACCATTTCACACAAGAATAAGACTAAAAAATTAACACCACTTTACTTTTGAGGAGAGGTAAAATATGCATACACACACACACTCTTTTTCGACCGTACTTTCGTGAGATTCAACTGTATTGTTGTTATCGCTGTAAGAATTAACATTGAAATAAATATAAAATTTATAACATTTGAGGAGAGACTTCTTTATAAAAATAAAAAATAAGAATGTGTGTCAATTGTTTAATTAAATCATAAAAAAACAATGTGGACTCACTAGTCTTTCTTTATTTTGGGACAAAGGTTTGGTATCCCTTTAAAGATTAGGTACTCTCTATAAGAAACAATACTAGGTATAAATATACTCCCACCCGCAACAACATATTCCTATCCATCCCTACCTATTTGTTATCTGTATATATGCAACAACAAATATATATATATATATAATGGGTTATATATGGCCTGGCCTTTCTTGAAATTCCTATGAGGTGAAGTCCACACAAAAAGAAAGAAAAAACTGGCAAGTTCACAGTAGGGGAGGAGCTAGGAGATTTCTTTATTTCGCTGGGAAATCGTTCGAGACTTTTGAGCCACTCGAACAAACAACTCCCATTTCGTATATTTGCAATTTTGAGTTCCGCATTCGATTAAAGATTTGATTTTTAACATCTGGGTATTTCTGCAACCATTTGCCCATCTGTAATGCGGAAAACTCGGCGATTCTCTCCGGAGCCGGAGCCGGATCTGATCGGCGAAGCTCCGGTGGCAATTTGATGGGACTTGTGTGGTCTGGAGTAGCGGCGGTCTTGAAAGCTGCTTTTAATGGAGTTGAGGATTTGGTGTTGTAGTTTATATAGTACTGTTAGTGTTTGTTCAAAGCCGCTGGAGTTTTCTGCTAAGCTTCGATTTCCAATCTTTCTTCTCCAGGTTCCCTTTTTTCCCCACCATTTTTTTTGGGTAAAAGCTTTAATTTTGTTTCAGTGAGGGATTCCAGATTAGGGTTTGGGTAGTTGGATGGGTTTTGGTAGTTTTAGTAATTTCTTGGCTCGGGAAAGATCAAGAATTTATTGGCATGTGGAAGCTCTTTGTATACTATGAATTATCCGAAGCTAAATATGGAAATTTATGCTTTTAGGATTTTTTTTGGTTTCTTAGTGTGCGTCGAATTTGATGATTGAATCCCATTGGAGACATCAATTTCTGGGTACTCTTAATTATGTCCTCTTGGCAATTTCCTTTTTTGGCTATACCATTCTTTCATTTGACTTTATTTTATTTCTAATATTATTGTCCTTAGTGTTCAAACTCACCTATTTAAACAATTTAAGCAAAATAGTTTGGGGGAACTGTTTCTTTTCTGGACCAGAATTCCATTGAAGAAACAGAAAAGCATACACCTAGCAGTATGATTTAGTAATTTGATGTTTTTGTGCTCTGCCTGTTGTGTTGGGATAATGGCTGCTATCTTTGGATTTTATGGTCTCAATGTGCGTATGAGGTTAACACTGTTTTGATAGTATTTATAACTATTTGCCTCATACATAAATTGTTATTTTTTTAGTTTTTTTTTGAGACTATGAAAATAAACAAAATAGAAAGAATGCAAATTTTCTGATTTATTGAATCATATGTATAATCTTTTTCTTAGGTTGTATTGCTGTTACTCTGCTTTGAGTTTGGACAAACATCAATTCACGGGCATCGGTTACTAAGGCAAGGGACAGAAAAGGAAAATGAAGATATTATAACTCATTCTTGCATTCACGATCAGATCATTGAACAGAGGAAGCGACCCGGACGCCGGGTCTATTCAGTTACCCCTCAGGTCTATGAGGTGCCTGCTATTTCAGAGCCTATTCACCGAAAGGGAAGGGCGTTGCTGGGAATATCAAGGAAGTCAAAGGATGTTATGCAACCAATTAGAATTATTTTAAATTATGATGCTGTTGGGCACTCATCCGATAGAGACTGTCAAAATGTTGGAGATGTTGTTAAGGCAAGTGTTATCTGTTAATTGGAGAAATTGACTTTCTTAGATATAGTACTAATGTTGTTGAACTAATGTTGCTATTTATGTTCACTAGTTAGGTGAACCACCAGGGGCTTCATATTCTGTTACACCTTGTAATCCTCAGGGGGATCCTCCAATTTATGGGGATTGCTGGTATAACTGTACTTTAGATGATATAGCTGGAGAGGACAAAAAACACCGCTTACGCAAGGTTTTTCTCATTCTCCTTGGCTCTTACATCTTATCTATCATAAGTAAGCGGTTTAATTACATCTACCTCCCCCAAGATTCTACCAAATGTATCTCGATGCTTCCCAAAAATACTAATAAACCCTTTGACTAGTCTGATTTTCCTCAAGTGCCCCGTTTGTAAAACTGAAAGACTAAATAATACATGATAAAACAAGAATTGTGCCTTTTCACACTGAGTTTGGTATTTTTAAAGGGCATTTTATTGGCTAAAGTAATTAAAGCTCTCTCTAATAAAGAATATTTGGGATAAACATTGATGGTAATATAGCCCCAAAGTCAATTCATCCTGACATCATCATATCCTATCATCTTTCAGCACCGTTTGCTGAAAATATGAGTAGTCAAGAGGTTTAATTGTAATCTTCTAGAACCTCAAGGGTCATTGCCATTGGCAATTTGACCAAACCTGGGGTGGTTGATGCAAATAGCCCTTATTTAAAAAGATAGAAAGAAAAACCACGCTACAATGATATTTATCTTCCATTTGGTAAGGAATGGAGAGGGGAGAAAATTGGAGGTGCTTAAAAAAATCCTTTGTTTGGTTCAACAAAGGACTAGAGATGAGTGAATAGATTGTACATCTATATCTTGTAGTATAGAGGCAATTTCTTTGAAGACTCCGAGAAAGGAAATTTTTGGAAAGTTTTGAAAGATGTTACTCTTTCTGTCCCAAAATAAAGAACACACTTTCCTTTTTAGTTTGTCCCTAAATAAAATTTCATTTCTTTTTTTAGTTAGGAATATGTGGTCATCATTATTTCTCTCTTTCAAATCAATTTCAGCACACACTTTTAACTTTTCAACACTTTTCTTGTCAAAGTAGACTTATAATTTGGGACAACGGGAGTATGACTTATGAAAAAGCATATGATTTTAATGTATGAAAGTGATTATGTAGATAAATTATGCTAAAAAAGGTCAAAGAAATTTAGAAAAAATAGCTCCTCCAAAATCCCTCAAGTTATGGACCTGATATATGGGGAGCATTGGAGTTTTTTTTATGCTCACCTCCTTTTTCCTGAACACTCCCAACCATACACACAAGTCTTCCACTTTTCTCTTCTCTCCTTCAAAATCCCTCAACCCAACAAAGGCTTATCGCTTTTTTTATAATTAGTAAGCACTATCTATTTTATCACTCTTGGGTTCTTTCCATCTCTCCACGGGGAAGTCAAGTTGTGGGAAGCTAAAAGTTGAGGTGAAAAAAATGTAGGCACTTGGGCAAACAGCTGAGTGGTTTAAACATGCATTAGCTGTTGAGCCTGTGAGAGGGAATCTGCGGTTGAGTGGATATTCTGCTTGTGGACAGGATGGTGGTGTGCAACTTCCTAGAGAGTATGTGGAAGGTATTTTTTAAAATTGCAATAGATATTACCTTTCCTCTTCTTTTTTTGCTCTTCATTTTGTTGTCATATCTACAAAGAAATCAATGATAAATTCTTCAAGTTCTCTTACTCCAGAAGGAGTTGCTGATGCAGATCTAGTTCTTTTAGTAACTACAAGGCCTACAACTGGCAATACACTTGCTTGGGCAGTCACATGTGAGCGTGATCAATGGGGTCGTGCTGTTGCTGGTAAATTTTCTGAAACAGATCTTGTGTTGATCAGTTTTATATTTAAGGTTCTAGGCGCCAATTGGAGGTGGGGGTGGGGGGATCATAGCCCTAGACTGCCTAAGCACACCGTAAAATAGGCTAGTTTTTTGTGTGGCTGGTTAGATTTTTAAGGTTAAACATCCAAGTATATACCATTATAGTGCATTAATTTATATTTCATGATATTAATACTTACTACCTCCGCCTTAAAAAGTGCAAGGTACAACTTTTAAACTTTGACAAACTCAACCATGGCACAAGCTTTACAATGTAGGGATGGTCACTCACACCCCAAAACAGATTTTCACGATTGTTTGTAGTAATTTACTAAATCCCCCACCCCTTGGCTGTAAAGGAACTTACTTAAATGGATCACTTATGTTTCCAGGGCATGTAAATGTTGCTCCACGTCACTTGACTGCCGAATCAGAAACCTTACTCTCAGCTAGTCTAATACACGAGGTAAGTCAATATGCCATGCACTTTGCTGTTGCAAAGTATTTCTTCCAATGTTGATTTCTGACGTTGGGTTTCTGCAGGTTATGCATGTTCTAGGATTTGACCCACATGCATTTGCACATTTTCGAGATGAGAGGAAGCGAAGGCGGATTCAGGTTTGTGTTGATTGTTTCTTTGCTTTATTCCCTTTCATAATTACGCTAATAACAATCCAAAACAAGCACTCTTTTCACTCTTTTTTCCTTCCATTTCCTAATAACTAAAGTGCCCTCTTTTTCTTGTTCTTTTGTTCTAAATTTTGTGATTTTGGTCCACCTTAGCACTAAGGAGTGGGTGTAACTTTATGCCAACATCAGTCAAGAAAGAATGTTTGTTTTTTTAGGTGACTGAGCAGGCCATGGATGAAAAGCTTGGAAGATTGGTGACTAGAGTGGTGCTTCCTCGAGTGATCATGCACGCTCGCTACCACTATCGAGTAATTTTCTTAATTCTCATATAAATGGTCTGCTAGCATAGAAAGTCTATGTTTGGTATTTTAATGAAAAAGCCAGACATAAGTACTATAATTGACTGATAAAAATATGCAATATAATCGCATGTCACTCAACATGAGCCTACTTGGCGCCATAGTTATCTCAAGCGCTCTGCCTATCTAGGTGATAGGGGCTTGACTGGTGGCGCACTGGCGCCTAGCAATTTTGGTACCATGTATGGGAGCTTATTTGCCATGCATGCCTTAACAACATTTACAACAATAACTAACTTAAACTACCTGGGTGTCTTGACAAATCTTAAACTGGCAGGCGTTCTCAGCTAATTTTAGTGGATTGGAGCTTGAAGATGGAGGTGGGCGTGGAACATCAGGTTGATAGTCTTTTCTTCTCTCTCTCTCTCTGTGTCAGTGTGTGTGTGTGTGTGCACGCGCGCGTGCGTTGCATTTTTAACGCGGTTCTTTAGGTGCTGCCATTGCATTTTTAACTTTCATTTCAGGGGAAATGAAGTCTACTTGTAAGTGGACCAATTAGATTTTAAAAGACTCCGTTGTCCACTTTGAAGTGGACCAATTAGATTTATAATGACTCCGTTGTCCACTTTGAAGTGTTAGAATCTCGTATAGAAATAATTAAGAAAGACTGATGAGTTGATAAGATCTTGTGTTAAAGTAGCTAATCGATTGTGAATTCAATCTTTTAGTGTAGTTTTGTCCAATTGTCTTATGATCCCGTCAAGTGATTGTGAAAAAGAAAACTTTTCTATTTTCATGTGAAATGTCAAATGCTTCATTTTGGAGTAAAAGTACTTTTCTCCCTCTAACAAGTAAGCATTTATTCCTTGAGAAAAAGGTCAAACCAAATACACCCTTACGTTAGCAGTTGTGTTTCTTAAAAGATTGAAATGAAACACTAGACAATCAAATATTCAGTTGAATTTTGGATGAGAATGAATGAAACCAATATGAGATGTTGCATTGCAGGATCTCACTGGGAGAAAAGGCTATTGATGAATGAGATAATGACTGGGTCAGTTGACACAAGATCAGTAGTTTCCAAAATGACACTTGCCCTACTTGAGGACAGTGGATGGTACCGTGCTAATTACAGCATGGCTGACCGCCTCGACTGGGGACGCAACCAAGGAACACACTTTGTCACTTCCCCTTGCAATCAGTGGAAGGGGCCCTACCATTGCAACTCTACACAGTTTTCCGGATGCACTTACAACCGAGAGGCAGAAGGTTACTGTCCTATTGTTAACTACAGCGGCAATCTTCCCGAATGGGCTCAATATTTTCCACAAGCTAACCGAGGTAATCCTATGAATCCCGACTACGTGGATTATTTGAAACCTTTTTTGTTCTTCTTCAAAATATATATTTATATAACATCAAGAGGCTGGAAATTGATGTTGCAGGTGGTCAGTCATCATTAGCTGATTATTGCACTTATTTTGTTGCATACTCTGATGGATCATGTACAGACACTAACGGTGCACGTGCGCCTGACCAGATGTTAGGAGAAGTTAGGGGGAGCAATTCAAGGTGACTATTTTTTTTAAAGAAATGTTTTTGCAAAAAAAAAAAAGATGAAAAGAAGTAAGATTTCACTTCACCATTCACAGCTCTAGCTAGATTTATGGAATCTTTCCTTCCTTGCAGGTGCATGGCTTCATCATTGGTGCGCACCGGTTTTGTACGTGGTTCTATGACCCAGGGAAATGGTTGTTATCAGCACAGATGCTTTAACAACTCCCTACAGGTATCAACGAAGGGTTAAGTAAATACTACTCCCTCCGCCCCCAAGAGAAATTCCCACGTTCTTTTTTCGCCGTCCCAAAACAAACTTCATGCTTTTTTTCCATAAAAAGAAGGGATTAAGTCGCTTACAACATTTCTCTTTCCTTTAAACAAATTCTATCCACACACTTTTCACATTTCGACAACTTTCTTAAACTTCAAAAAGTCAAACCATAATTTTAACTGAAAAATTTGAGGCTTCTAAATTGTTTTCTGAATACTTTTCAGGTTGCTGTAGATGGCATTTGGAAAGTATGCCCTCTTGCCGGTGGACCAGTTACCTTTCCTGGTTTTAATGGTTTATCTTTTTTCCCTGGAATAAATTTTCATTGTTTTAGATCATCTTTTGTTATAACTTCCTTTTTATGTTGCAATCACAGTACTCGTAAAAATTGCAGGTGAGCTGATCTGCCCTGCATATCATGAGCTTTGCCATGAAAACCCATTTCCGGTATCAGATCGTTGCCCAGCTTCATGCAATTACAACGGGGATTGCATTGACGGGAAATGCCACTGCTTTCTTGGATTTGAGGGACATGATTGTAGTAAACGTGAGCTGCTTTGTGCATTTTATTAAAAAAAATTCTACTTTGGCACCTACATTTTATGATAATTGCATTTCATGAGGTTCTTGAACTGCTGCTTTCTTTGGGCAGGTTCCTGCCCCAACGGTTGTAGTGACCACGGCAAGTGCCTTAGAAACGGTGTTTGTGAGTGTGATATTAGGTACACCGGCATTGATTGTTCCACAGGTAATTCCATTTTCTCTCAGGTAAAATATTTTTTTCAACTCATTCAAGAAATCTCAACATAAGAAACGGTGTTTTTGGACTTTTTGCAGCGATATGCGATGAACAGTGCAGCCTTCACGGGGGCGTGTGCGACAACGGAGTCTGCGAGTTCCGGTGCTCGGACTACGCGGGCTACACGTGCCAGAACAGTACGGCGCTCCTTCCGAGCCTCTCAGTTTGCAAAGACGTGTTGAGGAAGGATGCCGTCTGGAAACACTGTGCTCCCAGTGAGTTGAGTATCTTGCAGCAGCTTGAAGAAGTTGTTGTGATGCCCAATTACCACAGGCTCTTTCCCGCCGGGCCCCGCAAGATACTTAACCTCATCCGAGGCCGTGACTGCGATGGTGCTGCTAAGCGTTTGGCTTGCTGGGTCAGTTTATTTTCCACCCTTTTTAAATTAAAAAAAATAAAATACGTTTCGCGTGAGAAATTGTCAATCTTTCCCCAGGCCTACAAAGTATAAACCATGACTATATTATTTTATCAGATCTCAATCCAAAAGTGTGACAAGGACGGGGACAACAGGCTTAGGGTTTGCCACTCGGCCTGCCAGTCCTACAACTCGGCATGCGGGGCGTCTCTCGACTGCTCGGACCAGACGCTGTTTAGCAGTGATGGCGAGGGGGAAGGCGTATGCACCGGGTGGGATGACGAGTTTATGTAAATTGTAGTAGCAGTAATCTTTCTTCTTCTTCTTTTGTTGTTGTTTGATTATGATTATTGTCATTGAAAATTGTAATGGTGGGTCTGTATTAGGGAGTGAATAGGAGGAAAAGATGAGGGTTTAACCAGGTTTTAGGGTAGGGGTGAAAATGATGATGTGGGCACGAAGTGTCCCATGCATTGTGTGTAGAAGAAGAACAATGTTGTTGTTGTTGTAGCCTTTGTTTGTGTTTGTCTGTCATTTTCTCCCCTCTTTGGCACAATCAAGAAGAAAGAAGCCCATGAGGGGGGGGGGGGGGAGAGAGATTTGTTGACTTTTTACAGAGAAATCAATTGCTCTAATGGATTTGGCCAAAGGCCTTCAGAACAGAGCAATGGAGAAACAAAAAACACAAATCTTTGCTCTCTTTGTTTTGTTTTCTTGCATAATTTTAGACAGTCGTTTGGTTAACCGCGTTGAAATGTGATGTAATAATGTAACGAAAATGTAGTCGAAAATTGTGAATTTACTTCAATCATTGCATTTTTTGACCATCTCTTATTCAAATGTACTTATTTAATTAAAGAATGTTGAAACAAAAGCTGAAAGCAAGAATTAATGCAATAACAATGAAAGCAAGAATTAATGGTGTCGTCCCCGATAAAGACTGAAAATCATGCTCAAACTCTTGGCGTTTCCATCTTCATCGTCTTGGTCTTCGTGCCCCGGGTATAATAAAGGTATTGGAGAATGATCTATTGATGATGTTAATTGGAAATGGTGAATCAAGAATGTGTATATATGGAAAGATTACTACCTCCGTCCTATTTTAAATTGCTTGTTTGTCTTTTTTTCTCCGTCCTAAAATAAGTTGCCTGTTAGTTGTTTTCGTAAACTTTTAAGAGTAAAATACCTAAACTACTTTTAAAATAAGTCATTTTTCTTCACTTTATCTTTTCATTCACCGTCATCCCTTTTAAAAAGTACTGACAATTTCGAAAAATCAACTCTATTTTTTCTTTTCCTAAAATATGCTCAAAAGTCAAAACAAGTGATTTAAAACGGAACGTAGGGAGTATATAGTATGTGATTATATAGTAAAGAAAAGAACAATTGGAGAGATCACTAGAGAGGATACAAAGAGGTCGAGGACGACACACGCAACAGCATCTACCAGCCACGCCATGTTTGCGTTTATTTTCTCCCATTCCATGCTTCTCACCAATATACTGCGGTCGCCATTACCATTATGTATCATAATTTTCAATTATACATGGATATCTGTCTGTTTTCACTTTAAGTACCACTAAGAACATTCTTAATTATATCATCTCCAATAATTTTGTTTTCTAAAAACTACTTCTTCTGTCCCAATGAGTCTGTTCACTTTTTCTTTTTGGGGTGTTCTAACCTATCAGTTAATCCACTTCCTACACATGGTTAAGAAATATATGCTAACATTACTATTTTACCCCTACCTTTTCAAATTTAATGCTCCCAACTTATTCAACCAAGGGCAACTTGGTCTTTTTATTCCCCTAAGTCATTGGTCTTTATGCCAAAATCAAAGTGGACAAAGTGATTAAGAAAGGAGGAAGTAATATGCCGTTTCCGTCTCAGAATAAATTTTAAATTTCTTTTTTCTTGTTAAAGAGTGAAAAACGTGTATCACAATTTTTCTTTTTTCGATCATCAAATAAATGGCAAACATGCACTTTTTAATACTCAAGAATTCTCTTAAACTTGTGAAGTCAAACGTAAAATTTATTTTGAGGCGGATGAATCACTAAAATTAAATTTTATGGGTAATAAATAATACCAATATTTTGGTATAATTTTTATATTTTAAATCATTATATAATCTTAAACAAAGTATATAGCAACACTGAAAAATAAAAGTAGACAATTAAAAAAAACAAATGAAGGAGTAATTTTATACTTCCTCCGTTTGCAAAAAAGCTTCCTAGTTTGACTTGGAGCCAAAATAAGGAAGTGTTGAGTTATAGTTGACTTCAATTTTGCCCATGATGTGATGAGTAAAAATAAGATATGATGAATAGATTATTAGATAAAAAGTATGATGTGATAGATAGAGTATGAAAACGTAAGGGTAAAAGTGATTTTTTAATAAAAAATGGAAATGTCTTGTTGAAAGTGGAAAAAATGAAAAAGGAAGTGTTTTTAAGAACGGATGGATATAATGGCAAGAGATATTATATTGATCGGGAAATAATAAATGAGTACCTGGCAAAATATGTGGCATTGGCTACAAGAACGAAGATGAACATGAGAGGATTCAGTCCCTAAAATGACAATCATATATAAGGATTCAAATTAAATAAATATCACCACAAATTAATAATAATAATCCATAACTCCGTAAGTAGTGTGTGTGTGTGTGTGTAATTATATTGATGCGTACCTCAAAACTCCCTCGCTTCATCTGGCCTCGCAGAACATACATAAAAACATTCTATATTAGCTGTTCTTTATTACTTTTAGATGCATCAAAAATGTATTAATAGAGACATTCTATTTCTACAATCTTTCATTTTTTAATATATCTAAAAAATTATAATAGACCAATAATATGTAAGATGAATTTACTTAAATTGCACTAAAACATAATGACTTTTTCTAAATAGCACCACATGTATTTTTCTTTCCAATGTAGCACTTTTAGTCATTATGCATTAGTCATTATTCAAGTAAATATTTGCCTAGACATTATGGACATTATTAAGTGCTATTTAGGGAATAAAATAATTTAGGTGCTATTTAGGGAAATGACTTAAATTTTAGTGCTATTTAGTACAAATATTTCAATATGTAATTGAGGGAGCCCTCGAATGGTAGTAATGACCATGTACATTACTAAAAAAAAGAAAAGAAAAAAAAAGAGTACTTGCATTAAGCCAAATCTGAGGGATTCTCCCTCCCATGTAGATAGCAGCCATCAGCCATCCCAGCCATTGTCCTGCATTACTGTTCGCGCCAATTGCGTCATGCATCCGGCCGGCGGCAGTGACATGTTCCAGAGCGGCCGCCGCCTTGCCTCCTACCGGACTATAGGCTGCTGCTGCTGCCAGAAAAGCTCCATAGGCTCTCTGCACATATTATATGGGAAGTTTGAAAAGAAAGTTAAACCTTTGAGTTAGATTAACTAATCATTTAAATTTTACGGAGTAGTTTTTTTTAAAATATGGTTCAGTCTAAGTGTATTATGACTCAAACGAGTGACTCTGAAGTCAAAAGTCCTATGGCATCAGATCAGCCTCCATGTTTTCAATCAGTTCGGCCCAGATCCTTCAATCTTTTAGTGTGGTTCGTGAGCTTTCACATTTTTTTAATTTTATACGTACGTACAGGAGGGATGGATCTTGGTTGGGTAATGGCGGCGGCGGTAGCAGCCGGAGTGGGTTGTTCTTCGCCGTCGTCGTCCGAAGAGGAATAAGGGTTGTGTAGGGCAGGAGGTCCGCTTCTTGGCTTTATGTAGGAGCACCTTGGTGGAGTATCACTACTTGCCAATGTCCTTGCTGACCTGAAACGTCGTCGTACATACACCATTTTCATATTTTTGTATGCATAGGCAATACTCTTTTCTTTCTTGGAAACAATTCCACTCTAATTTTTTGCGCATCCCATAAAATATTCTTATTCCATCTAAAATGTCTAAAATACCTCCAAAAAACATTACTTACATAAAATAAAAATGTCTCTGGCTCTTCTGGGTCGTGGGTACCCTAACAACACCATTATTTGACCCACCACTAGGGATGAAGTGATGATGCCCTGTCTTGGACGCTTGCAACAACCACTCTTTTTCCTCTTCTCCAACATTTACCTATATTGAATATTAATAATAATGCGACAATCCCAAATGTTATTAATAACTTTGTCCTATGCATACATAACCAATTTTGACATAAATTCCTCTACATTTCGAAAATTAATCTAACCCTTAATAAATAAGAGAAATTTTTTTAAATAGCACTAAAACATTATAACTTTCTCTAAAGAGCACCACATATGTTTTTCTTCCCAATGTAGCACTTTTAGTCATTATGCATTAGTCATTATTCAAGCAAATATTTGCCATCACTAGCTGAACATTATGGACATTATTAAGTGTTATTTAAGGAAAAAACAGTTTAAGTACTATTAAGAGAAATGACTTAAGTTTTAGTGCTATTTAGTGCAAATATTTCAATAAATAATCTAAAACATTGATGTCGATCTGTACATATACGGATGATACCTACCTGCACATTGGATAAATTCTTCTTGTCAAGGCGCCCTCCTTCGTTGTGCCACCAACGAAGGAAATGCTCATAATATATGCACTGCAACAACAGTGCCACAGTTGTTGCAGTGTACAACTGCAAAAAAATTAATTAGAGTTGTTAATTATTGTTACACGTACTCCAAGTATATGTATACATTCTGTATTAGGGAATAACATTATCACAAATTAAATCAGGACTGATTTAATTAATTACCAGAGCTGTAAAAAACTGTGTAGGAAGCTGCATCGTACATGCGTTTGGCGTCCCAATTCAATGTAATTTAAAAGTAAAAACAATGGTTAATTGTTAGTAAAATCCATAATTAATTCCAAAAAAGACTCAAAGTAACTTGGCACTTACAGTAGCAGGGTCGAGAATGCAACCAACGAGATTAAAAATATCTCTGCAAATATAATTGATGTACGTACGGTTCAATTCAGTTGATTGGGATGCATAATGCATGTTTTGATTTTTAAGAGATTTAATGAAATGTATTTTGGTGTTGAGTTTCAAAAAATGTCCGTCCGTCCTTGAATGTGATGAGTAAAAACTAAGATTTGATGGATAAATTAGTAGTGAAAAGATGTGATGTCATACATATGTTAAAAATTTAGAGAAATAAAAATGACTTTTTAATAGAAATAAAAAAAGTTTTTGAACCATGGGTGGGGCGGCGGAATTACCCGAGGATCCAGGTGAGGAGAAAAGAGAGGGAGAGACCGGCGGCGGATTTGTTGTGGAAGTTGGTAATGATCTGTGGGATTTCAGCTAAGCCCCAACAGATGAGACTAATGATTCCCAAACCAAAAGAGACTTCATCTTTAAGGCTGCACAGGCAGTCCTTGAAGTATTTCTCCACCCACACACTCACACAGCAATAATTACCACCTGCTTTCTTTTCCACTCCACAATTATTGTTATTATTGTAATTATTATTATTATTAGAAGAAGAAGAAGAAGAACCCAACTGATAATAATGCAATAATTTATAAGTTCCCATATTATTTTAGTCTTGTGCAGTAATTAATGTGAAGAAGAAGAAGAAGAAGATAGGAAAAAGAAGAAAAGGAAGAAGAAAGAAGCGAGAAATGTGATGAAATCTAGCTAGCTAGCTTTTTGTAGTTGAAGACCAGAGAGAGAGAGCCTCACTATCTGGTTTTGTTTTCACTTGAGCCTCAAAAACCACTTTTTTTTCAATTGTAATCTCATTTTTACATTTAGAAATTATTGCTTCTCTTTTAGAATATTTCTCTAATTTTGACCTTTATTAGATATTGGTATTAGAATAATTTTATCATCATTGAATTTTTATTTAACTATATGTAAAACGTTGATCTTGGTTGATTGAAAATGTCAAAACTGGATAAAAATACTTTGAGACGGAAAAAAGAATATATATTAATCTACCTATTACTTTCTCCATCCTAAAGTTTCTTTCTCCTTTCTTTTTCTCCTTGTTCCACAATATCTTTCTTTTTTATTAAAAAATCAATTTTATCCCTATTAATTATTACCATTCCTATCACATAATAACTACTCTCACCGTTCCCTAATTTGACTTGGGATGGATTTATTTTCATAGTGAATATTTTATAAGAAAATTATATTGGACGAATAAAATTAGGAGTAACTTATTACTATTAAAAAATTGGACAAATAAAAGTAAGAGTAATTTATTATTATTATTATTAAAAATGGATAAACATGAAATATGGAGTATAACTTAATTATATGAAAAAATGAGGGTTTTTCTCCTATATTTATAACGCATTAACGGTTAGTTAACGGAAAGACAACAGTGCAATGCTATTGTGACTTAAAGGACTAATTATGAACTTTTAAAAGATTATAGAAATTAGTATAAAAAGATCTATAGAAATGATCATTATCTTTAAATTAGTATAAGAAGATCTATAGAAATGATCATTATCTTTAAATTGCTGTCCAAAAGATTTGAATGAATATGTACGGACTACGGAGTATTTCCTTCCCATTTATTGATGGGCCTGCTTTAATTGGACACATACAAGAACTCTTGAACATTATTACTCCTCGACTACTTCCACTCATAATTTTCTCATTTTCTTTTATGAAGTCTGTAATTTATTACTTTGATCATTAATATTTATGTATATATAATATAGAAATATGATATTTTAGAATATAAATTTTAGAGTAAATTCTCAAAATGATTCTTTGTAATAAGATGTTTTCTCAATTCAATCCTCAATAGGTTTTAATTACCAACATAGTCTTCTATAATTGAGATTTATTCCCAAGATAGTCCTTCGCAAATAAGGTTACTCAAATGATGAATAATTGAGAGATATTTTGGTATTTTGATCATCCAAATTTAAAGTATGTTCTCGAAACAATTATTTCTGTACAACTAAATGTAAAATTGAAAAAATACATTGACTATAAATAATTCATGAATTATTTAAAACTTATAAAAAATCTTTTAAATTTCAAATCAAATACACACTTTAATTAGAAAAAACTATTTTGGAAAAGCACTTCTTTACAAAATGATCATTTTAAGAATTAATACTAAATTTAGCAGATAACAATACCAAAATATCCTCATTTGAATATAAATCTCAAATGAGTAGCATTATTTACGAAGGATCATCTTGAGAATAAATCTCAATTATAGAGGACCACGTAGGTAATTAAAACTTATTGAGGACTGATTTGGGAAAACATCTTATTACAAAGGACTATTTTGGGAATTTACTCTAAATTCTATAAATGATTCGTAATTAAAGATGATTTTTCATATATATATTTCTCAATTCCAATAATTACATAAATAGTTTTTAATTTTTGAAGTAAAAACATTTCATATTTGGTCCTTCAAGGACTATATGTGAAAAAATATTTTGTCATATTTGATTTACGGAACTATAAATGATTCATAATTAACTAGGAACCATTTATGAAATTTATTTATTTTATAACTTTGTTACGGTTAAAGGTGTTGACCAACAAAAGCAAACAAGAAGAAAATTTTGGATAAAAATAAAATTAAAAATTCTAGTACTCCGTACTTCATTCGTAACAAGATACGGAGTACTCCCTCCGTTCTCAAAAACACTTCTTCTTTCATTTTTTTCCACTTTCAACAAAACCCTTCCCTTTTCTATTAAAAAACCACTTTTACCCTTACTTTTTCATACCCTACCTATCACATCATACTTTTTCTCTAATAATCTATCCATCACATCTTACTTTTACCCATCACATCAGGGGCAAAATTGGAAATCAACTATAATTTAACACTCCCTTATTTTTGCCCCAAATCAAAATGGGAAGGGTTTTTCCAAACGGAGGGAGTACTAATTATGCAGAACATAAAAATCAACTTTATTCTTTAATGTATTCCCTAAAAAAATTTTATCACTTACAATCGTTTCAAGCAAAAAAAGTTTTAAATTCTACTTCTGTACCTAGCTTCAACAAAAATACTGAGACGTGATGTGCAATTTCTAGTAATTAAATTGTCCGATCAGAATGAAATATTTTCCTTAAATCTTTATACTACGTATTAGCTAGTCGTTAATAAAGTTATTTTTCATTTAATTTACTTAAATATTGATATAAAATTAGACTTTGTAGTTTGTACAAACTAAAAAAGTTAGATGTTTAAAAATTACTGTCTTTGTCTCACAAAATATTTTTACTACTTATTCTTCTTAAAAACTTGTCCTAAAACACCTTTCTACCATTGATTAAAAAATCATTTTTACATCCACTAATTTTTATTTATTCTATTTATCATATCATATCTATTCAACATTTATTATTGAATAATTTATTCGTGCCATATTAAAACGAGCACATACAACAAATTGGGATGATGAAGTAGCTTTAGAGCATATTCTGATCTATATAATATATTCCTATATGGCTCTATATGTCATATGCTTTGCCGAGTATATACCTTTTTTATCTCACAAGAGAATTTCATACTCTGCTATTTCTTTTTTGTTTATCACAATTTCCAAAAAAAAACATTCATACTCTGCTATTTCAGATTAGAATTTCATACTAATATGTCTCATATCTTTCTTCTCAATTAGATTGTTATAGTTAATATTTTTAAACTTTGACACAAATTCCAAAAAGAATATATTGAAATATAATATGATATAAATTAGATATCGAGAAAAGTGCACGGTTTACCCCCAAATTCTTTGAAAATTGCATGGTTTACCCCCAAACATTAAAAAGTGCACCAAATACCCCTGAATTCTTTGGAAATTGCACGGGTTACCCCTGAACAATAAAAATTGCACCAAATACCACTGAACTCTTCGAAAATTGTACTGTTTACTCCTGAACATTTAAATAAAGACGACAATTTTGAGTAAAGGTATTTTGGAAAATTCACAAGGGCCAGATGAATCATATTCGCAATTCTTGTGCGTGGAAGCAACATACTCCCTATCTAATAGTTTAGGACCAACGATGCAACGGTTTAATTTATTCAAGGGTATTTGGTACATTTTTTAGTGTGCAGGGGTACATCGTGCAATTTTGGAAAAGTTTGAGAGTAGTCGGTGCACTTTTTAAAGTTCAGAGATAAACCATGCAATTTCTAAAAAGTACGGGGGTAAACGATGCACGTTACTCATTAGATATCAATAAGATTATTTTGAAATAACATATTTTAAGTAAACATGCCCGATCAATTATATGAATTTGTGTTTTCCAAATAAAAACATCTGCACGTACTTACAATACAATTCAATAAACTTTAATTATTGTTATGTACGAAAAAGTACTAATAATGCAAGCCCTAGCTAGCTCTATATTGTTTGACAAACAAAGGTACAGGTCTTCGTCCAACCATTATTTTTTGGTTTGTCTGTTTTCTGAACTTTTTTTAAAATCCTAAAGTTTAAGAAAAGATGAAACTTATAGTTGTGATTTATGTAGAGGCATACCCTTCTTAAGATTTTTTAGGCTCGGAGCGAAGAAAAATATAAATAAAAAAAGATTAACGTACCCTAAGTGGCATAGTTGAGATTTGTGTTGGTAACTTGACATTCAAATGTGTGAATATAGTAGTATTAGTAGTAATCTTGTACAATAATTTTATTTTCTATCTGCAAATATGAAGAAGTATGAGTGAAAAATATTTTTTGGACTGAAAAATTTATTTCTAGATTACTCATAACAACATACATAACGTATAAAATATTTGAGGTATCTTACATTTTAGGGGCTCCCGGCCGTCGCCAGCCCCAACCTCCATCAGGTCAGGCGACGGTGCTATTATATATTTCAAAATTATATTTTAAAATAAACTCAATCTTAATAAATTTACATTATAACTAAATATACCTTTTCTATAATTCATAGTAAAAAATAGATACAGATTAATTAAAAAAGTCAAACTGTTACAATCTTTTACGAAATACTTATTACCTTGATTAATTTGAGGGTATGTACCGGCAATGGCGACATAATGTGGATTGTGGATGGTTACCATCGAGCAATGCATATTGGACAACGTACCGATACTGTGCATGCATGATGCTTATTTTTCACTACTCTTTTAATTTTATAACCAATATAATAATCCAAAATAAATACTCTTTCGTCCCACTATTTTTATTCAGTTTATTTTTTTTGAGTGAAAGACGAACTTAATTACTCCCTCCGTCCTAAAATTAATTTCTCATTTTGACTTTTGCAGTCAAAGTTTTTAAACTTTGACTGTATATTACGAAAAATATATATTGAATTTTCATATAAATTTAGTATCAATAGATTCATTTTGAAACATAGTTTTGAAATATATTATTTTGATAATATATATTCATATAAAAATGGATATATTAATGGTCAAAGTGCCGCATTGGAGACCGTGAAAAGTCAAATGAGAAGTTAATTTTAGGACGGAGGGAGTATAAACTTGAATTACTCTCAATTTGAATTGAATATTAGTATACTAATATAAAATTGTGAAAGCTCTCATCAATAAGATAATCTAATAAAATAAATTTTATGCTAAAATACATTACAATTTTTATTTAATTTATGTAATTTCACTTGAAAAAATCAAACTGGATAGAGGGAGTTTCTTATTTTTCTAAATTGAAGAATTGATTATTTATAAGATTAGAGCATTCTTATATCAGCATAATTTTAATCACAAGATTTTACTCCATCATCTCCATCCTAAAAAAGAATATATTGAATGTATAAACTTAATATCGATTATTTGATTTCTCTTAAAAATGTGTAATTTTGAAGAATCATATAGAATCTTTATAACATTTGTATAATTATTATTATTAATAATAAAAAGTCAAAGTATAACATTAAAGATGGTTAAAAATCAAATAAAAAACTAATTATGAACACTTGATTAAACTTGCCTTCTTTAAAAGTAAGGCTTAAAACATCTCCAACCATACTTGCTAGACATGACTTGCTAACTCACTATACATATTTGGACCGGTTTTAAAATACTCATCAACACTAATCTAGTTGTACTCTAAAAAAGGTTTACATATAAACTAAACATCAATAAAGGGGTAGTACTGTTAACAATATAATATTGATCTCTGTCCTGTAATTTTTTCACATATGATTTTTTTTGGTCAAATTTATAAACTTTGATCTCAATATATGAAAAACGTATATATGTGTATAGTGTGTTATGATATACTCCCAAAAAACATTAGATTTTTTGTGGTGTATTTGTCAAGTACTCGTATCTCTTTTTATTGGAAAAAAAACAATGTGAAAAGATTGGAGTGTCTACATACAACGAATGTGAGGCACCATGGGTAGGAACCAAGCATTTGATATTTGATGAGGAATTGTTTTTGGAGTTGAACTGCGTCTAGATGCAATGAACCTGATTAGAACACAGAATTAAAGGCCGTGTAGGATTTTTGTTTTTTTAAGATATAATACTCTGTTACAATCTTCATAGATACGGAGCATTACAAATTTTCAATGTAGTTTCCATATAGTATTTTAAAGAAATTTACCAAAATAGAACTAAAACATAATAACTTTCTGAATTTAGAACCATATGTTTTTATTTCTCAATGTAGGATCATTAGTCATTATCCATTAGTTATTATTCAAGTAAATATTCACCATTACTGGACATTATTCTCTCTCACTAGACATTATTAAATCATATTTATGAAATAAAAAAGTTTAAGTCTTACATTGGGAAATGACTTATATTTTAGTCTTATGTAGTACAAATTTTTCTATATTTTATCTGTTTAAATTTATTAAATATCAAATTCAAATATGAATCTTAGCAGCTCTTTAAAATAAATAAATACTCCATACTATATTTACATTCGTCAAATATTGATCCAATATCAGATATGTCCGTATAAACAATTAATTATATGAAATTAAACACACTTTTGTTGGGTCCCTTCAATTTTAATTGGGGGACAACATAGATTTAAAAAGTTTAAAAAAAATTACCCGAGATTCAAAAATTAGTAGGGGGCCACGGCCCCTACTTCTAAAGGGTGGTCTACCCCTCTCCACATTCAATTGTAATTTGGTCATATTTTTTTTATTTTTTGTTTTACTACATCTTTATCTACTCCGTATTTAAATATCAAACACGACGAATACTTTGAAATGAAAAAAGCTTAACGTAGACTTATAATTCTATTAACAACGCACACTTTAAAACGGGCCGGAATGGATCCAATACCCACTAAACTTTTGGAATCGACCCAACATATTTTACCAAATGGCCCATTATGCTCTGTCCCTGTTTTCGAAGGAACCATCGCACCTTTGAGAAACAAAGTTTTACTCCGTAGAAGTTGAGTTCAAATCAAGTGCATATCCCAATGTGTGTAATGGGGAAGAACATTGTCATCAACAACTCATGCTGAGGTTAGTAAAATGCTCATCAACAAACAAAAAAACAATCATTTCAACCATGTAAATGATTTTTTTAAACTATAATGTTTGAAAAGGAAAAATAATAATTTTGTTCTTGTATATGTCCTCTCTTCCGACCGTGCGTGGCAGAAAAATCTTAAAGAATGGCTCCGAGGATCTAATGCGTGGTCATGGTGGCATAGTCCAGGAAAAGCTAATATGAACAGACTCAAGTTTCACTTCACTATGTTAAAAAGGAAAAATAAGGTTATCAGATCACCTTCAACAAGGAAAGGTACCCGTCATCCGAATATGTTCCAAAGTCCTCTCCAATCCATACTTAAGTACTGCCTGGTTACCACTCCTATAACCGTTTCCATATACCAGAGACGTGTCAGATTCAATCTGGTGTTTAAAGAACTCCCCGAGTTTCAACTCAAATTGCGGTCTGGTCAATGATGGTCCGGATGATGAAGATGACGATGCCCTGTTGACTTTTGACATTGACTTGATTTGTGATTCCAACCACATGTGAGCCAACACCTGACATATGCCTTCTTCGACGTCTTGGCTAAGAGTTTGATAGCCTTTCAAGAAAATGCAAGGGTAATGTGAGAAGCCATGCATGCTATAAAAAAAGAGCACAACAGAAATGGTTGTTTCTTCAATGTTATGTTATGTTGTTTCTTCAATTTTTACCAAAAACAAAAAAAAAACTACCTTTAAGTCGAAGCCAAGCATGCATCATCTCATGAGCTAAAATGGATCCTGTCAATAACCTGCATTCCAGGTCATTTATCGATATAAACTTCTCCTCGAGAGAAAAAAAATTGTTTTAATTTTTTTTATGAATTATACTTAAATGAAAAATATTCAAGTGACAGTACCTAGGAAGACCAGATAAGATTAAAATTGCTGTCACTTCACAGTGGCGTCTTAATCTATAGGGTTCCGTTCTCATCTCTATGGTACGACTTCCAGCCCCTATCCTTGGCCGACGCAAAGTCTAGAATTGTAGCATAAAAAACATTACCTTAATCCACTGTAAGACAATACTCCTCAGATATAGGGAAAGTAAGATTAAAATGGAAAACATGTCATTACAGTGCTGATTGTTCTTTCTTCAGAAAGGCAGAGGCCTCTAGTCTCAGGCATGTGATGATGACCCTGAAAAAACCTCAAAAAGTTAGCGCTTCCTTGGTTTACTAAGAAGGAGAAAAAGGTCATTTTTGTTGGTTTGAAAGTATTGTTATTACATGTTTCCCTCCATCCATGGCTTCATTCAATGCCTGTCTCTCAACCAAGAGCAATGGGACTTCCTGATGCAGTTTCATACTCAGCCCTTCGTAGAATTTTTGTATGTCAAGATAAAGGGGCTGGCACTGATTGGTGTCCGTAATGGAACAATCCAAACACTCCAAACAGAGTTTCCTGCCATCATCTAAGGCAACATATTTTGTTTCATGTGGCTGCATTCAATTGAAGAAACAAAGGTTGGTTCAAATGTGCAAATAAACTAAAATAGCGGGGTTTTCCGTGAAAAGATGATGCATGTAAGCTATGGTAGGAACTCGGAAAACAATAGGAAAAGGGAAAAACAATACTATGGAAAATAGATTTTTATGCGTGACTTTACCCTGGAAAATGTAAAGGAAAATAAAATTTGATGAAAAAATTACATGCATTTAGATATTCCTAGTACTTTTTATATAATATAAAAATATTTGAAAAAATGACTTCTAAAATTTATATCAAATTGATTTATTAAGTTTGAAGCAATTTATGATTTTTCCCTAGCTAATTCTTTCCTTCCAAAATTCCTCACTGCTTTCCTCCAATTTTCTTTCCCTATCATTTCCCGGGTTCCAATTGGGCCCCTGGAGATCATAATTTTCTATTTTGGATACCTCCATTCGCTCACAGCTACAGCAGCGAGGGGTTCCATCACGCTCATGAAACGGGCAGTACTTTTGGGACCAAAAAGGGTGTGCACGATATTCAATAAGACCTGCCGCATTGGTTGGAATCTGCAGGTCAAAGGAGTAGCCATTCTTATGGGTTTAAACAGGAAAAAAACTCTAACCGTGAGATAGTGTAACGAAAATTGCTAATGCTTATACTTACAAAGCTTTTGCATACATCACACTTTGGATGGTAATGCTCCTTGTAGCAGGTTTTGTGATATGGACGACTCTCAGACATAGAAAACTGGAAAGGAAGAAAAAGGGAATGCAGAAAGTTATAAAGAAGGGTACTTGTTTACAGTGCACCTATGTACAATACATTTGTAAACAATCTTTTAAGCTAAGAGGCTCCAATTTTATGATTTATTATTGCACAAATGATGAGATCTCAGTTTCCTTTATTGGATATGGATCATTACATTAAAGCATCCTATGAAATTGCATGCAATGTTTGAGACAGATGGTTCATAAACCAGACTTTCATTTCTACTGATTTCCCCAAAATATTCCTCTATTTACTTTGCTTTTGAATTCACCCATGTATGTTCTTTCCTTTCAAATTTTACATATATTTTCATCTCTTTTCTCTTTCCTTACACTTTCCAATTTTCAAATGATTCCGTACCTCATAATCAGATATTGGTTGTTTGCATCTATGACACCTAAAACACTCTGGATGCCAGAAAGCACTCATACAGTTCAAGAATCGCCCATGGCCGATCTCTTTGTTGCACCCAGCACATATCCTACCACAGTGAGAAAATTTTCTCCTAAATATATACGGAGTATATAATATATTAAGACACTAAAAGTCTATTTGCAAGGTGGGGTTTGGAAGGCTTAGTTTACATTTTGATTTATACTTGAGATATTATAAAAGTTGAAAGATTTCAAACACATCTTGTTCATTTTTAGAAACATTCTATCTATCAAGATATAACTTAGCCTCCCCTGGAAATCTGCAATAGGTGGAGGAGCTCTAGAAAAACGATGAGACCCATAGCCGCTTTAAGAGTATTTGGTTTAACATAAATAGAGCTCAAAGGGGAGAAAAATGTGACATATAAGATCATTCGGCAAACAAACCTGAAACTTATTGCATTGGAGAAAGGTGTAGGTTGATAAAAGTGCCCATTTCCATATCTATCGCCATGGCCAGTGTCTTTTGTGTTTCCTTTCCATGCTGAGGGATCGAGATTCCAGCTCTCCTGAAGAGCTCTGGCAAGCTGTTCGTCTTCATTTAATTGTTTTTCACTATCTGCCCAACATTCAAATTCTCATTGAATCAACAACAGGGAAAATTAAAATACTCCCTTTGCCCGGATTTAGTAGTCTACTTTCTAAAAAATCTCAACTTTAAGAAATGAGATAAAATGTCAAATAAGTGCTTCAATTGAGTTTGTCACGCATTCATGTAATCATGTCAACAATGCTCATACTCTATCACTAGGACATTTTAGACAAATAATCGTAATTTCTTTATTGAATGTGTAAAGTGTACAACTAAATCTGAATAGAGAAAGTAAGCCTTATATGAGGAAAAAAACCACATAGACCATTACAATGAACCTTATGTCCACATGTCCAATAAAAGAACTATAAAGAAAATTAAACATCTTGTGTAGTGTATGCGATGGTTTGTTTTTTTTCCATACAAGACTCATTATGATGAGATAATCCAAATTGCACTAACCCAGTACATCTCTTCCCTTTAGGTTATCTACCGAAAGGGACAATGCAATAGCATGGTCTGTGTCTTCAATCTCTGACCAGGGGTCCTGGAATGTAAAAGAGGGTTAGGGAACTGACAATATGATTAGGCACACTAGTTAAGATCCCAATCAATTAATCTATTCAACACTTGCAATGTGTACCCCTGAAGTTGATGGATGATTTTCCTCTTTGTGTGCATCATAACGGAGATCATATTGTCCTTCCGAAACCTTGTGATTAGAGCCTTTAAAGATTTTGCTCAGCCAACCCATTTTTTAAATAATAAATTACCGTCTCATGATCACATATAACTTAACCTGCAAACTATGGAGCATAAGGCACCATTTTCCAAATTCAGGAACACCCATGAAAACCATCTTCAAGAATGGAACTTTGTATTTTACCCTTTGAGACTTTTCAAACTTGTGAGTTCCAGATCAATTTCGTGTTGGTACTACAGATCAAAACCACAAGCCTAACAAGCAGAATGAAACCAAAAGTGAATTCAAATAAGAAGCAGCAGCAGTATAACACACCAAAACACAAAGCCATCAATGAACAAAGGGTACAAATTTTAAAAAGTGCGGAGTAGATAGCAATTCTCAGAAGAACAATGGGGACCAAAATCAATTACAAAAAGCTAAATGTCATGTTATTGTGTTCAAGGTTTACTTCCCTCAAAGAGAAGATTATACAGCAAATGAGAACACCGATCAGAGGAAGAAATGTAAGGGCTGACCCAAGAAAGATTCTCTGGTGGCCTTTAAGCTTTGCAATCCAGAAAAGGACTTACCCAAGAAACGAGTACTGTAAAATTTGAATCTTTTCTGAACCAGAAAGGAATCTTTATCTTCTTCTCCAAACCCAAACCAAGAATTTTTAATCTGGAGGCAATCTCTTTCAGGAACCAAACAAATTGCGAAAAAATGCCGGTCGGATAAATGTGAATTGGATTATACGCAAAACCCCAATTTGAAGTCAACCAAAGACAATACTCCGTGTGAAATTCTCCTGGTACAAATCACACGCTTTTATCAATTAGGGAGTAACTAATTGAGATGAATATAAAAAAAAATAGAAAATAATTCGAGATGACTATAGAAAATATAAATTATAAATTATCATGGATGAGAACAGTTGAATCATAGTTGATGATAAGAGTCAAACTAACATTATTGAGATTGAAAAAAAATAAAGACTTGCCTTAAAGATTTATATCGACATTAAGGAAGACAATTGCATGCCTAAAAAATTTTAAATTTAATAAGAAGAAATCATTTACTTATTATAGGGGTATATTTTATCTAGATTTTAAAAGATCATATTAGATTATTTAGCATTTATATATTATGTAAATTCCACATACTATTTTAATTCTATGTTGATTTGGATAGATTTTATTATATGTAGGATTTGAAAAGATTGTGTTTAGATTGCTCAAAATCCAAATAATAATATCGTGAAACAAAAAAAAATTACCTTGAAAAAAAGTTTAGCAAAAAGAAAGATAAAAACAAAAAATTGAACCGCAAAGAAAAAATTGATCAAAATAATTATGGAGCATATAATTTACCATGAAATTTTTTTAACAGAGAAAAACCAAAAATAAAAAAATTGAACAAAAAGCAAAAACTGAAAAATATACAAACTGTAGGGAAAAAATTGAACAAAGCCAAAAACAATTACCTACATTGAGAGCAAAATCGAACAAAAACCAAAGCATAAAACTGTATAAAAAATATATAAACAGAATACGTAGTACTCCGTATAAAATACAACAAGGAGTATCAGTACGGCAAATTATATGGCACATCTAGCTGTACTTTCTTTTAGGTACATCATGATATTTTTGTAAATTTTGAAAACTTTTTTTCTAATGTCATGAACATATATGAGAACTATTATATATGACAATGAGTACCAGCAGATTTGAGAAAGAGTAGCAGCACTTATGAGAATTATCACATTTTTATTGAATACAAACATGAATAAACATTTCCTTATTTGAGAATGAGCATTGTTTTTTTAATTGTATAAATGAGTAGGAACGAATCGAACAGATGAAGAAGTTGATAATGGTACTAAACTTTTTAATTGTGAAAAAATTGAACAATACTTTATTTCAGAATGAACATTTCCTTATTTGAGAATGAGTATTGTTTTTTTAAAGAATGAACACTACGCTATTTATTATAATTATATTAGATAAATGTGTAAAAATGAGTACTTCTTTGTTTTTGTTTTGATATGAGTAGTACCTTTGTGGAATGAGTCTCCAAATTTTTATATTTGTAGATCCAGTTCCAAAGCATACACTGGGTCTGTCTCATTTACTGATTGCCCGCCGCTCCTCTCTCATCTCAATTACATCTCCCATCCGTTCCTCCATTCCAATCACTTCTCCAGTCCTCGCCGCCGCCGCCGTTGTCTTCGTTTTCCTGGATCCGCGCACAATCCAGGTGCATGTTTTATGGTGCATCTTCTTTACTTTCTAATTGTGTTCTTGCTTTGGTTTTAAAATATGACGCTTATTAGATCCTTCAATTCGATATTCTTGATAACTCATTGTATAACTATATGTGGTGATGGTAGATCAAAAGATTTGTTTGCAATTCAAGGCCGCATTTTTATCTTCAGTATTAGCATATTAATTTTCACTTTTTTTGATCTACTATTTCTTTTTTCCATTTAATTGTTCTATTTTTAAAACCACTGAGTAGCAGATTTTTTTTTTTTTAAAAATTCCCTTCTTATTCTATGCCTTAGATCTCTGGATTGATATATTTACTTTTATCAACTCATTAAACCCACAGAGAATAATTATTCTAGTATACAAGTCCCATATAAAATTAGCAACTGTAAATCTTAAGACGATAGTATACCTGTTTTTATGCCTTATATGATTTTTTTTTAAAATTTTTTCCTACATAAAATATATACTCTTTAAGAATAAAAAAATCCTACGGAGTAATTTTTTCTTGAAAATATATGCTACCTTTTGAGGCCAGGGTTGCCATTTAAATATAATAGTTCCAACTGATTCATTTTTCATTATTTTTATTGTCACTCAAACAGGCTGCGAAGATTATTACAATCCAAAAATCCACATCATTACTCAAAAAAGTAAGTCCCACTTTACTCATTGTTTTATGGCATTTTTTTAAATAAACGCTTAAAATTGACTTCTATTTTGTTAAAATTAATTCACCTCCTAAACTGGATACAATTCCGTAGTAAATATTTAGTACTATCTCTCAAAATGCTTCGTAGATGTTAATTGTTAAAAAAGGGTATTCATTATTCATAAAATAGTTTTCAAACATTAATGTTTTGACTTTTGAGAAAAGTAAACGGGTATGTATAAATAAATTTAATAAAGCATGGTGGGATAAGAAAATGAAGAGAAAGAAAATGATGAGAAAAGAAAATGGTAAGAAAATGGGAGGAAAACAATTGTTCTTTGGATGACACGAAAATGGTCAGAATAGTGAAAGAAAATAGTATACTATAAATTATCATTGGTACCATTTTCTTATCTCCTCAAGTGAGAACTTTTTTCCCAATTGATTTCTCCCATTTTCGTTCACAACCATTCAACCAAACATGAGAAAGTTTCTTAAAATTTGTGTTCTCATCATTTCTTTTCTTTCTTATCATTTTCCCTACATTCAAACAATAGCTTTAATGGTGTGTAATGACTATTAGTGGTGGTTCACTATAAGTCTAAATAGTATAGAAGGGGTGTCTATGAAGATAGTTGAATATAAGGCATCGCTAGCGTACATGAATTTACTGCATATATTATGGAATTACATGTTATCCGAAAAAAATAATATTGCTCACCACATTTGAAAATATTCACTAACCTTGCCTACACCAAATATACATGGGATTTCGAAGTAATTGGTTGAATAAATCTCTACATTTTCATTTTGGATTTTGAGTTCCCAACACTTCCATGGCTAGATTTTCATTCATAGATCAATATTATGTTACACCCTATTAATAAAATCCATTTTTATCTAAATAAAATGTAAAGTAGTTAAAGTTAGTAACTTAGAGACGTTAGTGTGGCACCATTGGCCAAGCAAACATCACATTAGTAATTACCCTTTTGGGGGGACAGCTTCATAGGACACTTAGTGCATAGAGTGTAGCACGAGAGTAACTTAATTCAACAAACTATTTTTTTAAGAAATAGAAAGTTTATAAGTATATAATTTATAAAGGAAATGTTAAAGAGTTAATAGTTAAAGAGTTGCCAAGAAATGTTATCAGTGCAATTATTGTATCAGGAAATAGTGCCAATGAGAAAGTTAAAATACCAAAAATGAATTTGGTACTGTCAAATCCTGGATTGCCGTTTAAGTTTCAAAGAAGACAATTTCCAATATCTTTATGTTCTGGCACGACAATCAATAAGAGTCAAGACCAAACATTAGCATTTGTTGGATTATTTTTGACCAAATCGGTATTCACTCACGGTCAACTTTACGTTGCAGTTTCACGAGTGAAAACTAAGAAATGATTGAAAGTGTTAGTTTTAGATGACAATGGTAACCCTTGCAATTGCACCAAAAGTGTAGTTTACCCTAAAGTTTTCCAAAAACTTTGGATCTAATTGATACATTTATACATTCTTTTCAATTTTTATATCGCATTAAATTTAGTTATCATACTCTGTTTGTGTTGTATCATTCATTAAAATTCTAACATTGTCTATTATATTTAGCTTCATTTTTTAATTATGTACTTAAAACAAACATTTAAGAGTTAAAAATAACATGCGTTTGACCCCGTGCGTCGCACGGGTTAAATACTACGGAGTAGTTAGAAAAAATAAGGCCGTGGGAGATAAGAAATATTGAGCATCCTAATCGGATCATAGACCATACCATAATGTTGGGTTGCCCACTTGCCCGACTTTATTCACTCTACGCCACTTCGAATCTTTGACCTTCCCGGCTCCGTTTTCCGACTCTGGCTCCGACACACAAGCCAGGCAGCCCAACTGCCAGTGCGGCAGCGGCCTTTTTCAGGTGACGGTCTTCCCGGTCTCCGCCTCCTTTTCTTCTACTCCGGCAGTCCGCCTCTTCATTCCTCAAAGTTCCCACTGCCCAGCGGCTAGATTCGTCCTTCTTAATCGAGGTAAATACCCTGTAATTGTCTTAGACTTATCAATTATGATTTGTTATATATGAATTTTTAATTTGTGGATTTGTGAATGTGTGATTAGGTTAATTTTCATCATAAAACTTTATGTGAACTTTTGAGGAATGAAAGGTAAGTTCGGTTCAAGCAAATTAGTACTTGTAACTAGGAAATGTGTATCAAATTAGTCATGTATCTGAAATTTTTCTACTAAAATTTTTGTTAACACGTTAATTGACAAAAAAATTAATACACATGGTCATTGCTCTTGCATCAATTAACGTGATAACTCAGAATTTTAGCAGATAAATTTGGTTTGATTCACATTTTCTAGATAAAGGCACTAATTTGACTCAATTAAATTTGCAGGGACCAAATTGGCTCATGGTTTCTCTCATGGGGACCAAAATGAGTATTAACTATTAACTAGGAAATATTTACTCGTATCACCTTGGAGTTGGAGGATTGGTGAGTAAGCCTTCAAGTAGCCAAGAAGATTTTCTGTTCAAAATCTGTACGATTTTGCCAATAATAAAGGACCAAGTCATGTGCTCTATCTTTCAACTCTAAGAAACTTTTTTCAATGTCCCCCTTTATGCTCTGAAACAAATGGCTTCAACACTGCACCATATATAAGAATATAATTGATTTTCAATTGATCTCCAAAGATTCATGCTATATGTAATCTTTAATTTTATGGGGCACTATTTGGCGAGAGCCTATATGAGCTAGGTGCACCCGCCAAATGTTCATTTTGAATCAACGTAGTGTTCATTCTGAAGCAACATAATGTTCATTTTCACACATTTGTTCATTACAATTATAATATTTATTTACGAACAACGTAGTGTTCATTCAAAGACTGTTTAGCATAGTGTTCATTAACGTAATGTTCATTTTCAAACGACATAGTGTTCACTCTGAAATATTTTTAAATACATGGTTGCCATGATGTACGCTATAGCATATAATTTTCCCTATTTTGCTTAATGTTTGACATGTTTCCCCTGGATTCAAATTTTCACTAATGTTACCCCATGACCTCAAGTTCCCGGCCAATGTTCATATATTTCAACATGTTATTGACTCATTTGTGTTGTTTATATGGTTCATCAGTTTTACTTTGTGCAGTGTATCTCCTCTTTATTACTCCCTCTGTTTGAAAAAATAGTTGCGCCTTCATTTTTGCACATCTCACAAAAGACTTATACTCCCGCCTAAAATGTCTAAAGTACACCTCATTTCTTCTTTATTGCGGGTAGAAGTTATTTTGGGGGTATTTTACACCTTTTAGGTGGGGAATAAGTGTTTTGTGGGATGCGTAGAAAATGTAGGTGGAAATGTCTCTTTAGAAGTGCTTTAAATGTTTGAATTTGCAGGTTCGAGTATGGTCGTGGCGAAGAGGTATGTGTTGAGGTTGTTCATATCTTTGAAGTACATAACTGCGAATGTGGTAGACAGGAACAACGGTAGGGTGGTTGCAATGGCATCCAGCGTTGAACAATCGCTGAAGAAGTCGTTTGAGTGTGGGAGGAGCTGCAACGCCAAGGCGGCTGCAGTTGTGGGAGAGGTGTTGGCGAGGCGGCTCAAGGTGGAGGGCATTGATCAAGGCGGCGGCGGTGGGGGAAGTGGAATCCATGTCAATGTGAACAAGGAGCTTGAGAAGAAGGGTTTCAAGAACCACACCAAGATCTGGGCTATAGTCAATGCCCTTAAGAACAATGGAGTTAAACTTGTTTTGGATGATGCTGTTGATCCCAAACCTTCTGGCCCCAGCCACTAATCATCTCTGTTCCCCCACCCCCCCCCCCCACCCAACAAAACATACAAAATATGTTTCTTATATGTGATGATGCTTCCTAGATTGATGTACAGTATGGTGGCCAGTTTAGGTGCTATGATTTTATTTGTTTACAAAAAAAAATTGTGTAAAAGTGTTCAACCGTGAGAAGCAAGTACTCCCCATAAGTCATTTGTTTTGCGGGAACAAGATAAAAAAAATTGAGCTTTGCACAATAACTAATTTATTATAAAATGTGAAGAAAGATTCTCTGGTGGCCTTTAAGCTTTGCAATCCAGAAAAGGACTTACCCAAGAAACGGGTACTGTAAAATTTGAATCTTTTCTGAACCAGAAAGGAATCTTTATCTTCTTCTCCAAACCCAAACCAAGAATTCTTAATCTGGAGGCAATCTCTTTCAGGAACCAAACAAATTGCGAAAAAATGCTGGTCGGATAAATGTGAATTGGATTATACGCAAAACCCCAAATTGAATTCAACCAAAGACAGTACTCCGTGTGAAATTCTCCTGGTACATATCACACGCTTTTATCAATTAGGGAGTAATTATAAAAAAAAATACGGAGCATTGAAAAATGAACCGGACCCGGTCTTCCCAAAATTGGCGGCAACTGCCAACTTGTACCCACACACACACACACACCCACACACACACGCACACATACATATATATATATCTATATATATATGTGTGTGTGTGTATATATATATATATATATATATATATATTGATATTTGAAACAAAAATTAAGAAGAATGTTTAACCCTTCAAAAAAAGAAGTGTATTTAAAATTTATGCATAACAAGTACTCCATAGATGATTAATAAAAGATCATGAGACATATATTTCTTTTTTAAATTAAAAAAATTTAAATGTCAAGTTTCTTGTGAAGTAAAAAAAAATATTTTGAGACGAATAAAATATTTTTCAACAAAAAACTACGTGCATATTTAGTGGAAAACTAAAAATGTACGCTAAATAGAAATTGTGTGCTAAGTAAACAGATAACTGCTTAGTATATTTTAGAGGCACAATATTTTCATGCAACTTACAAAACGATAGCATGATGTTAGATTTAATTAAAAAAATATGATATTACGTCTTACTCCGTATTAATTTAAGATTTAAAATTTTTATACAAAGAGTTTGTTATTTAGAGTTTAAACTTTTAACTTTTTTTGCTTCTAATAAATTATTTTATTTTTTGACCGATTATAAATACTCCGGGTATAATAATAATAATGTTAAAAAATATAAATAATAACAACAAGAATAAGAATTAGAATAAGAATAATATGTAAAATACACTTAAATAATTTTTTAATTTTCTTTCCACTTTTTTTTTCAGTTTCAACTAGTTTTTTTTCCAATCTTAAAGATCATGCTCAAAAAAAAAAATAAGTTTTAGGAAAGAAAGAGAGCGTTTTTGGTAACAATAAATTAGTAGAGTGTTGGACGCAAATTGCCCAGTCCTAGCCCAAATAGAATTAATTACTCAGATTAGCACAAGGAATAATAGGAACGTACAAGTCCGCTGTTTGCATTCCTAATCAAACCGGAGGAAATCAAGAAGAGTTCATAATCACCACCATTACTGTGTTGCAATCACTGTTAGTCCGCCTTTTTAATCAATCTTTATACGTTAACAATTTCCAGTAAAATGGATTCGGATGGGTTCGACGGCGATGAATACGACGATCGAGCTTCCTCCGAAGACGATGACTGTGATTACGACTCGGGTTCCGATTCCCACGAAAACGCAGATGCCGGAATCCCCAGAGCTCCATCGTGCAAGGTATGATTGATTATGGCACACTTCTTCTTCTTCTTCTTCTTATTATTATTATTTGTTTTTGTCACCTCTTAATTGTGTTGCTGGTAAACAAATACCGCTCCCCCCATTCTCACCGGAATTTGAGTTTCGGGTTGTTATCTACCCTTTTACAGTGTATTTCTGAGGACAAATTTCAGTTTTTCTTCCATTTTTTTCATGGCGTCATTGACAGGGCGGGGGAGAGCTTATAGTTTTATCATGTTGCTGGTGCTTTTTTTTGTGTGTTTTCACTGTTCAGATAAATTTAGCTGTTGTTTTTTTCTCATGTCATTACCAACTCGAAAAAGGAGAAGAATTTACAGCCTAGCGAGCTCATCTAAACCATTACCTGCCTTCTATGAAGGGCTGCCCAGCTCAAAAGCCCTCAAAACACAACTATGAAATTACATACTTTTGCCAGGCTTCATCTTTGGGAGGACAAAACTAATGTCAACCTTGAACTTGTCTATTCTTAAATCTAATGAGATGTATGGTTTACTTACTGTAGGTGATTACAAGAGACTCTCTTCTGGCTGCACAGGTAAAGTATAAAATCTTTCATGAATCTCCAACCACCAACTCAATCTTTTTTTTCTTCGAGCTCATTCTTTGATATATGATATCAAAGCTTTGTTGACCGAGATGTCATGAGTTCAATTCTCAGATGCCCTATGGTTGGATTAGTCAAGTCACACGATGCTGTGGATTATTATTTGCAATGTGTTTTTTTGTAGAAAGAGGACTTGCAAAGAGTGAAGGACTTGCTATTGATCAAGGAACATCATGCGCGGACATTACTTATTCATTACCGTTGGGATGTTGACAAAGTTGTAGCAATCTTTGTGGAGAAAGGAAAGGAAAGATTATATGCGGAAGCTGGGGTAACGGTAGAATGCAATTGCGCTCCTTCCGTAAGTGGGTCTGCTGCTAACATGACATGCAAAATTTGTTATGATGATATTCCTCTTGCGGAGGCAACAACAATGGATTGTGGCCATTCATTTTGCAATGATTGTAAGTTAATCATTCTACATCTTCATACGTGAATTGACCTTGGATAGTTTTTTTAAACAAAATATGTGTTAGGATCTTTTGAGATTAGATCCTAATGTCATAATATGACATCGGGCACCTACACTGTCCCTTTCGTAAAATTGATAGTTCCTACCCCAACCCCTGCCTCAACCTCCTAGATCGCTGATTGGTTGTAGACCAAGTAGGAAAGCTGCTACTAATCAGCAAACCGAGGGGGCTGGGGGTAGGAACTATCAATTTTACGAACTATCCGAGGGAGCTGATATGCCTCACTTTTTATATGCGCGCAAGGTCTGTTAATGTTTATCTAATTTAAAATTGGTTCCCGTAGGTTGGGCAGGGCATTTCACGGTCCAAATAAATGCGGGCAAGAGTAAGCAAATCCAATGCATGGAATATAAGTGTAATGCAATTTGTGATGAAGTAAAGGTTAAGAATCTGGTTGGTGAGAGGGATCCTGATTTGGCATGGAAATTTGAACGTTTTCTTTTGGAGTCATACATCGAGGATAACAAGATGGTGAAATGGTGCCCAAGCATACCCCATTGTGGGAATGCAATTTATGTTGATACTAATGAGTGTTGTGATGTTGAATGTGAATGTGGTCTACAATTTTGTTTTAGTTGCTCGTCCCAAACACATTCGCCTTGTTCGTGCCTGATGTGGGAGTTATGGATGAAGAAGTGCAGTGATGATTCTGAGACAGTGAATTATAAAGCCGTTTACACAAAAGATTGCCCAAAATGCAAAAAGCCCGTGGAGAAAAATGAAGGGTGTAACCTTGTGAGATGCATGTGTGGACAACCATTTTGGTGAGTGCAATACTCCCTGTCAGCATCTTGATATTTCGTAACTTGTATTTGTAGTCTCATTTATAGCATGTTGCCTTGTTGGTAAGACCCAAAATGGCTAAATTTGATGAAGTTGTGAATGAAATGACCTAATTCGGGGAAATGATCTTGAAAGTAATACCTAAAATAAAGGTAGAAGTATCGATTTCAGCCAAAAAAGTAGCTTCTGCATTTCTTTAAAAAGAAACAACAATGTAGTTAAAAAGTCAATAAGACTGGTGCAAAAAATGAAGCCTACCTAACAAGCTCTTAGCATAAAAAGGTTCGTGCATTCGATGCAATTGTGCAGCTTTTTACTTTTCTTCTATTTTTACTAAACTAACGAAGGATTCAAGCAGGCTTTTTACTCATCAGTTGATTCTTTGTAACCTATTAATGTGTTTGTTGATGGGTGATGTTTCCTATTTGCAGTTGGCTTTGTGGTGGCGCTACTGGTTTAGCACACACGTGGGATTCAATTGAAGGTCACACTTGCGGCCGATATAAAGAAAACTACAAGGAAAAAATTGTTAATGCAAAAAAGCAGCTATTGCGCTATACTCATTATTTCAACCGTTACAAAGCCCATATTGATTCTTTAAAGGCAGAAGCAAACCTGAAGCAAAAGTTGCAGGAAAGAGTTTCAAAGCTTGAGTCAGGGATTGCGGCATCAATGGACTTTAAATGGGTGACAAATGCACTTAACAGGCTCTTCCAATCAAGACATATCCTCGCGCATTCCTATCCATTTGCTTATTACATGTTTGGTGATGCCCTGGCTGAGAACAAAATGACCCTAAGAGAGAAGGAAATAAAACAACACCTTTTTGAGGACCATCAACAGCAGCTTGAGACAAATACTGAGAGGCTCTCAATGTATTTGGAACAGCCTATTGATGAGTTTGCAGTAAATAAGGTTGCTGAGATGCGGCTGAAGATCACCGCTCTCTCACTAGTCATCAACAATTTCTGCAGAAAACTGTATGATTGCTTTTGCACTGCTAATCTTCTCTTCTTGATTTTCTGATTAGTAAATTATTTTTTACACGGACAATAATAACCCCTCCGAAAATCGAGCTTTGGATCATAAGAGCCTATATGGTAAGGGTTATTTGGCTGAAATGAGGCTGAATTTCTCAAAAAGAAAAGCATTTGGTAAAATCGATTTCAACCAGATGACTAAATTTAAGTCCACTTATGCTTAGTTCATTGTTATAAAAAAAATTCATTGTCATTTCTCCTACATAACTCTTACCTAACATTTGATTTTCATCCATTGTTGTGGTAATTCGCAGGTACGAATGCATTGAAAACGATTTACTGATTCATTTACCGTCCAATCATACTGTAGCTCCTTATAGATCAACAGGTGCGGTAAAAGTAAAAGCCTCAGAACTGGCGGGTGATGTTTGAATGGATGAGGAGCCATTTTAACTGCTAGAGTTACACCACGGACGACATCAATGTTGACACCGCAACCTTGATGTTGTCTATGTATTTAAAGTAGCAATTTTCCTTTTAGATTAGATTACATTCTTTATTCTTTTTTTCTCTTTTTGTCATGCATTTTGGTTATGTGATTACCGCATTTTTCTTCAAGTACTTCGTAATTTATGCAATATTGCAATAATGC